TAACATGCGATTTATTTGCTGACAACTGTACAATATATACTAGTAATGAGAATCGTAATGAGTTAGAAAGATCTTTACAGAAAGAAGTACACAATCTTTGTAAATGGAGCAACAGCAATCGCATGCAAATTAACATAAATAAAACGAAGTCAATGCTTATAACAACCAGCAGTAACTGTTCATCCGTCTCACTGACTGTTTGTCTATGTCACTGTTTATCTGTCTCACTGACTGTCTGTCTATCTCACTGACTGTTTATCTGTCTCACTGACTGTCTGTCTATCTCACTGACTGTTTATCTGTCTCACTGACTGTCTGTCTATCTCACTGACTGTTTATCTGTCTCATTGACTGTCTATCTATATCACTGACTGTTTATCTGTCTCAATGACTGTCTATGTATCTGACTGTTTATCTATCTCACTGACTTTATCTGTCTCACTAACTGTCTATGTCACTCTTTACCTATCTCACTAGCTGTTTACTTATCTCACAGACTGTTTTCCTATCTCATTAATGCACACCCAGATATTTTATCTGGCCATTGAACCCTCTCCTCTCCAGTCCATCTATCTGCTTAGTTATTTGTTTGTCTAAGTTCCCAATCACTGATCAATCCATCAGTCCCTCTTTCTGACTAGGTTTTATTTTCATTGACTCTCAACTCTTTCAGTGACAGATGGTTTCAAAGCAAAAACTCAATCTGGCATGATGGCCACACTGAAAGTGTAAAGTTGAATCAAGGAGTGACATTATAGCACTCAGGACACCTCCATAAGAACTCCATCCCCATCTTTAGCAGCAAGCAAGGACTTCCATTTCTGACTGTAAATCCGTCTCACTTTTCGCTTGAGTGGCGTCCAGATCCCCTGATAACTCCCAACTGCACCATTCTCCATGCGTTCAAAAAGGGCTCTGGCCCTCTCATACCTTAAAGTCTTGCACGATCTCACAGCCCTAATCTTGCTAGCTTTAGAGATCAAAATAACCACAGCAGAAAAGCCATCATTGTATGACTTTCAAAGATACAGTACATACTAAAATGATTTTAAAATACTTGGCCATATGTCTTTTGCATAACCAGGCCAAGCATGACATAAATCAGACATACTTCAAGATCCCAGCTAAGTGATTTTGTGTAGTATTATTTCATTTGTATGTGCTGATGAAGGCTCAATAGCCGCAAAGTTCATGTTTTGTTTGTTTTTGTTATATTGTAAAGCTTACTTATGTACTTTTTGTTCGGTTTTATATCTTTTCATGACATAAATAAATAAACACCCATGCATTCATTGCCTTAATACACATAGACATTCATTCATGATCTTTTTGTGCCATTATATGTCTCATAGGCCTCGCAGTCTATTCCTCCGTTCCATTCTGTATTGTGTAGTCAGTTCAATGTCATTGATGGAATCGAGTCGAGCAGCTTTGGCCTCTCTCATCAATGTTCATCTTAGATTCTTTATTTGGGCATCCTCCCCTCCTTAATTTCTTTATTCCCTCTGCGGGTTCCACGGTCCCATTGTGGGGAAAACAAGAATAGAACTCCAACCTCCCAAACAAGCATACGGTACGAGTCGACTAATTGGGGATTTCCTTCGAAGTTGGAGTACATCTGCCTAAGAGGGAAAAAAAAACCAACAGTCTGCATACAAATAAGTCACATCTGTAGAATAGATGTGAATGCACTACTCAGGCTCTGGAATAAGTCCAAAGTCTAGAGCTGGTTGTGTACAGCTGGGAATGTCAAGAAGAAAAATCCCTTTACTTCCCATTTTGATGCCTGCTTGGTGATTCTCTGCTGGTGTCTTCTCAGAATGTGTCAAATGTAGAGCCATCTTCTCGATCTTATAATTGTTGATACTAGTAACCAAAGATATAAGCCGAGAACATATGGTTGGTGGCTTGGGACAAAAAGAGTTCAGCAAATGAGCACAGTAAGAAAAGTGTGCTCGTGTCAAAAAGAGCCAGAGTGATTACCATGTTTGGGGCAGACAGAACTTGTGGGCTCAGGCACCTTGACACCTTCCTCTCTCAAACTGTTGAGGGGAGGGGAGGGGGGAAGGGAGCTGCAGTGCCTAGCAAGGCCAGGTCGTATACAGTGAAATATTTCCTTCCTTTCCCTATACCAATTTATATATATATTTTTTTTTTAAATATTCAGAAACCAAAAGTTGTTAACCCTTTGGCTAGGTACTATGGATATCGCAACCCTTCGGCTTTGATTCCATGATAGATACAGTAAATCTGGAAGACATGTGGATTTATTGCCTAACCCTGGGTGTGAACCTGGACCACAAAGAGTTTGTCACCTGGTCACTACGCTAGCGAGCCGGGCAATTATATATTTTTAAAACACATATTTTTGCCATTTTTTTCATTTCCCCTTAGTGATAATATTCAGGGCAACCCACATCCCTGCCCTACTCCAGTGGGGTTTGGGGGGCTAAGAATGCCAATTGCAATTCAACAACTGACACTGAAGTACATACATTAGGCTATAGTAAAAACTCAACAAAAAGTCTACAAACCAAGTTTCTACATTTTGAAAAACATTTATTCCCAAATCCCACATTTCAAAGTAAAGAAAACCAGGCACCATATATTTACAGAAAAATCCAGAACTAAAATGTAAATACAGAATAAAACTAAAGATAGACCACAGAATACACTCTAATGTCAAGCAATTACATTAACATTATTTGTTAGCAAACACATACAAACATAATTTTATAGTTTTATCCAGCTGTATATTTTCCCAAGGAATGAGGGTAGTGTGTGTGTGAGAGTTTGTGTGGTAGTTGGGGTGATGATTACACAGAAATATACCATCTCTTTTTCTGTCCTTTATCTCAGAGAAAAGCATACATCCTCCATCAATCTACACCAAGGTGTTCTATGGGAGGTGGGGTAATGGTTACACAGAAATATACCATCTCTTGTTTTGTACTTTATCTCACAGAAAATCATACATCCTCCACTAATCCACATCAAGGTGTTCTATGGGAGGTGGGGTGATGATTACACAGAAATATACCATCTCTTTTTCTGTCTTTTATCTCAGAGAAAAGCATACATCCTCCACCAATCTACAGCAAGGTGTTATTTGGGAGGTTGGGTGATGGTTACACAGAAATATCCATCTCATTTTCTGCCCACTATCTCTCAAAGAAACATAGGTAATCCACCAATCCATGCTAAGGTGATCTATCTATTGGAAGCCCACCCAATAACCTCCCCATTTTATTAACTCAAGGCATTAATTCTCCTTTCCTGTGTTTGTTGGTCTCAGCAGATTTCTTTGGACCCATGGGTTCTAGTGAAAGTACATTCTAGTTATCTTTTTCTTCGTGTTCACAGGCTGTAAATTCCAGTGGAAAGTTCTGGTTGTTCGTCCACCTCTGGACTTTAGTCTTGTTCCAGAACCTGAGTATTGCATGCACATCTGCTTTACAGATCTGACTTATCTGTATGCAGATTGTTGGTTCCTTGCCTCTCAGACAGATGCACTCCGACTTCGAATGAAGCCCCCAGTTAGTTGACTCTTAAGACATGCTTGTTGGGAAGGCAGTAAGTCTATTCTTGTTGTCCCCACAATAAGGCCCCGGAACACACACAGCGATTCTACTTGTATATCATCAAGTTTTTTTTAAATACAGTCGTAAAAAAAATAAATTACAGAGAGACATACATTTAAAAAATCTAAGTATATGTACTTAAACATGCTTAACTGAATAATTTAACCTTCTGATCAGAAAAGAACATTTATCAGACATCGTCGTCAACTACAAATCCTTTACATTACTAGTCATTATTCTGGACGCTAGACAGCGGCGCTGTTCGAAGCAGAGGCAAATTTTTTGCTTCTTCCGGACGGTGGCCGAAGTATTTTTGCTCCATTTGTAGACTGGCTATAGTTTCGTCACCCAGCTTCTGAGTTGAATGCATGGCGTGACCCTGTGAGCTGCGGATTGCATTTGGAATGTATTTTAGATTCAGAAAATGGTGTGATGCCTGTTGTGCAATGTTGGCGGTGCCCGTATGTGATTACAATTGATCGCGTGGGCAACTGCCGATCTGTTGGCGACAAGTTCTGCTATCATCAATGATGAACTGCATTTCTAATGTTGGACTGTTTGAGTTAGCACTTCGGATGGCTACCATATGCTTTAATGCGAGTGTTTGCTGGAATGCTGAGACAGCAGTCTGTCAATCTTTCCACAAGGGACTGTGATAAACATTCTGAGTGTTTTTCGTTGGCACAGGAGCAGAGCAAAGATGGGGCGACCCGTTTGCTATAAAGCTGAAACTAAGACTACCAGACTACCAGACTACCAGTCTTCCAGACTACCAGAGTTCCAGTCTACCAGACTACCAGTCTACGAGACTACCAGACTACCATTCATTATTCTACGCCTTAGTACGCTTCATGTCCACAAAATGTAAGACTGGCAAATCAGCCATGTGTACATGTGGATTGGCACACGAGATATCAGATCACATCCTCCAAGACTATCCCAAATACACTATTTCAAAGCAAACCTTCTGGCCAAGAGAAACACTGTGCAAGCCCAACTTTATGGGTGGCTAAGTAAATAACAAGACAGTGAAGTTCATAATAGGAGACAACAATGCAGGTATAAATAATCTATTTCAAGCAAATGAAAGAAGAAGAAATTACAAATGTCCAAGAAGCTGCTAAACCAGCATTGGTCAAAGTGTTTCCAGGAAGAGAAGGTTAAACACAAATTATTTAATAACTTAACATGACTTTATTTTCTGGATTTTTGTTGTTGAAAATCACATATTTTCTGTAGAAGATAACGGGTGATAACCTAAAATATGAAGTACATTGTATATAAGTGTAATCAAGCAAATAATGAAACAAATCAGTGAAAATGTCCAGATTCAGCTCCTAGTTTGGTTCTGTCTGCATAGCGGAGCTACTTCCCACTAGAGGAACTGATGATGAATTGTTGAATATAGCATACTCCCCTTCAGTGGTTGAAAAATCTGGAGAAACGAGCGTAAAGAACATGAAATACAAAAAGTTATTAAAATAATGAAGCAGTCTTGTTACAGCCAAAGGTGCATTTCACTTTCTTAGGCCCATCTAGGTCAGCAAAGCCCATTTATACACCACACAAGTTTTCAATGATACTTGATCAGCCGAGTCGACTTCTGTAAAGGTTAGAGGGGTGTCGCCGTGCCCACATTTACTACCTCAGAACACCGAGAACTCTCCTGTGACGAGACCTCTATATTACAGTAAGTTAGTGATTTTAACGACCCCATAAAATCTGCAACTGGCCCTAACCCAAACTCCATTAACCACCAACTGAACCTAGGTCCCACCAGACAGTGCATTCTATGTGCCGTGGTTTCACACTTAACATTTAGCAGTGGCCCACACAACGCTCTGTAGCTGCAGACACAGAACTCTAGCCTCTGCAATAAACTGATTTCCTACGCAAAATCCTAGACGGCTGTCGTGTACCCAGCAACAAACACTAATATTATTTGCTAAGCTGCTCAGAAAAGCCACTGCTATGCACTCCGAAATATACAAAAGAGAGATACCTTACCCTTACACTGACAGCTTAAGGCGGAGATTAAACATCAAATCACAGTGTCCTATCTCGCCACCATCATTCATAAGTGAGTATATGGGTGGAGCCAGGGCCTAGAAATATGAGTTGAACCCAACAAAATAAAATCTGCCATTATAGTTGGTATTTACCACTTTTGCTGTGTAAAGAGAGAAGACACTGAGCCTGAGAATTTAGGGCCGCATGGCTAGTGCTGTAGCCACGGACTGTGCATGGAAGGCTTTTATTCTTGCCCCTGACCAAATAAATCCCAAATCCTCTTCTTTTTCTTAAAGTCCATGCCGTGTAGCTCTGGTAGTCATGTCTATCCACAAACTCCCGCCTCATGTACTTTCAATCAATGCTGACAGAGATGATCGTCCATGCCATGATGTCAAACTGTTCAGAATCTGTTCTCTCAGTCTCTCTCTACCTCTCCTCCCCTCCAACTTTCCTACCGTCACGATGTACTCCAGTTTTCTCCTTTTCATCACATGACCAATGAATGTAGATTGTCTCTCTCTGATGTGGGCAGTCCTCTTTGAGAGTCAGTTTCCCTCAAGATGACTTCATTACTGTTTTTATCTGTCCGGGATATTCTCAGAATTTGTCTGTAAAACCACATCTCCGCAGCTTTCAAAATCTTACCTAGGATTTAAAAACTGCATTTGCTGCATGAGAGTCTAGTTTCCTTAACTAACCTGACCAATCTATAGGCTGTGGCTCTCCCACTTGTATCACTGCCTACCACTTGGTCACCTGGTTTATGGTGCAGCAGCTTGAAGATTTAGGGGCACAGGGCAATTGCAGTAGCCACAAACTGCGCAGGCTATGAGGTTTACTTTGCCCATCCACATTTCTCTCTCTCTCTCTCTTGGCAGTTGTTTTTTTTTTTTTTTTTTACATCATTGGAGATTTAAACAGAAGTCTTCCACATGAGAGAGAGAGAGAGAGTCTTGCATTCAAGCCCTTGCATTCAGACCATACATACTGTAAATAAATCACATACATCCCTTTCCCTATATCAGTGAAATATTTATCAACATAACAAACATTTAAAAAATGATGATTATATTGATCTACTTACATAAACATAGAAAAATTAAGAATATTTTAATCTACATACATAGACATTAGAAAAATGAAGAATATTTTAATCCACTTGAATAAAATTTAGAATCACGAAGAATACATTCATCTACTTACAAAAACTTTAGAAAAATTTTTAAAAATACATTTATTTACTTATACACAAACATTAGAAAATGATGAATAAATCTATCTACTAACACAAACATTAGAAAATAATGAATAGTTAATCTACCTAAACAAACATTAGAAAAATGATGAATAAATTTATCTACTTACACAAACAATAGAAAATAAAGAATACATTTATTTACTTGCACAAACCTTAGAAAAATTATGAAAAACTTGATCTACTTACACAAACATCAGAAAAATGATGAAGACATTCCACAGCCCAATAAATATCCGCAGATGTCTCAAACTGAGGAGGAACTCTCGGATTTTGTCTCCTGTAAAATAAGATCAATTAATGAGACCATTATGTCCCTTAACATTCAAACTTCTTCTTCACTTCCTCTTTTAACCGCTCAGTGTGACGAAGGTTCTGCTTCTTGCTCTTCTAGCCACCTGGACCACAGACACATTGTGCTGTCGTAGAGTTTCTCTGATTCTTATCTTTCAATGTAACTGACTCACAGAGCATGTTGGGAAAGGTGGAGACAGGCATGCTCGGTGCAGAGTGGCAAGCATCACTTCAAAGGTCCCGGGTAGTGAGCATCCTTTGAATATTTTCTCCAGGCATGCAGGTGTGTTGGGAAATGAACAGGCAGAAAGACTGGCCGGTTCTGCCCCACTTAGTGGTTTACTGATGTATGACAAGCTGAATGTTGTAAGGGTCCTTTGGGAGCGAGTGAACAGTGCCGAGGCACAGATAGATTCTTACGGACTCAGGCTTGAGTTAGAAGAAGAACGAAGCACTTATGGGTTACAGTCGTGTGCTATGATGTTGTTCCTTTGAATAAAACTACAACAAAAACAAAGGAGAATAAACGAGAATATCAAGTCAGATATGTGTTACAGAGTTACCTCCTCTTTATTAAATATCAAATTACTTTTCATTTGAGACAATCCCTGCTGTCCTTCCTAACAATACACATAAATACCCATGTGGGTTCCAGGGCCCCACTGTAGGGAAAACAAGAACAGACCCACTGCCTCACTAACAAGCATGTCCTAAGAGTCGACTAACTGGGAGCTTCCTTCAGAGTCAGGCTGCATCTGCCTGAAAGACAAGAAACCAACAACCTGCATACAATTAAGTCAGATCTGTTAAACGGATGTGCATGCAACACTCAGATTCTGGACCAAACAAAAGCCCAGAAGTGGACAAGCAACCTCTAACCTCGTGCCAGAGTTTACAGCTGGTGAACGCAAAGAACCCATAAGTCTGTAGAATAACAAACAAACAGACAGACAATGGATTAATTAGCACTCACAGGCAGAAGCATGCTGTAAAAGGTGACTAATGAGGGGTCTGCTGAAATGGGATGAAAGATGCAGATATCGCAGCCTAGCTGTAAACCACAACATAATGTGCTAATTGCCCTTTTATGGGTGAAAACACCAGAAACATAATTTTAGACAATAATTTTAGCCTACGAAATTAGATCGTACCAAGTATAGCTGTGCCACAGAGTAAACTTACCTGTCGATGAATCAATGCGTTCCATAAAGGCTTCATCTTGCCTTGATCTTCTTCTGAAAATGGTAGAAGTACAATAGAACATTACATCACACTGGGCACAACCGATTACGTAACCACATGTACACAAAACTCAAGATAGGTGTATCAGCCATGTGCACCTGTGGAAATGTGCCCCAGACCGCAGAGCATGTACTCCAGGACTGCACCGATTTTGACACATTAAGGCAAACCTTTTGGCCAGAAAGAACAACAGTGGAACGTAAACTCTATGGACCACTGAATGAACTAACAACGACAGTGAAATTTATACAAGAGACAAAACTGCTGATATAGACAACTTATTTCAGGCAAACGAAAGAGAGAAGAAGAAGAAGACATCACACTGGTAATAATAAGGTCATTTGCTATTTTTAATGGCTGTGAATATTACTAGGGGTGTTCAGAAAATAATGCATCCTAATGTTTCTTCTCAGCTAATAATGAAGTTAGAAGATTGAAATTTTGCAAACTTCAAACAGGGCATGTGCTGACTGAGTGTTGCATATTGCACTGCTGCTGACCAAATCTTATGGCTGCCCTAAACTGTTGCAATACAGGATGTTAGCAACCTGCAAATGTTGATAGAATTTCTTGCTGCAAACATTCACAAGCATTAATGTGATGTGTATGGAAGTTTGGCAACCAACAGGAGTACAGTCAGTGGCTGGCTTCAGAGAATCAAAGAATCAGGAAGTAGAGATATGGAGTTGCTTGATCAGCCATGCTGTGAACATTATTCTTGCTGACAGGCAATTTACTGCTCAATAATTGGCCTTACAGTTGTCAGTCAGCGATGGTAGTGCAAATGCAAGTATTAAAAACCCTCAGGCTTGTGCAAGATGGTTTCCTTGAAGTCTCACAAATGACAATCAACTGCAAATGAAAGCAATTTCTTCTGAAATGCTGGAGCATTTCAATGCCGATGAGAGAACTTTCTGGCTAACACTGTGACCCAAAGTCATGACTGAATACTAAAATTATACAAAACTAGCTTGTTAATGAAGACAGATTGAGATTTGTCAGAAACATAACAAAAGAGGCAGTCATCATTGTTCGACCATGTCCTCATGTGGGTTTCGCCTGTAACAAATGATCTATATCTGCAATGCTGTCTCTAGTATGAACTTCACTGTCTTTTGTAATTCATCTCATTTAATACTCACTTATTCATCTTCATTCATTCGCTTGAAATAGATTATCTATATCTCCAATGCTGTCTCTAGTATGAACTTCAATGTCTTTTGTAATTCATCTCATTTAATACTTCCTTTATTCATCTTCATTCATTCGCTTGAAATAGATTATCTATATCTCCAATGCTGTCTCTAGTATGAACTTTACTGTCTTTTGTAATTCACTCAGCGACCCGTAAAGTTTGACTTGCACCGATGTTTCTCTTGGCCAACAGTTTTGCCTTGTTATGTTGTATCTGGGACAGTCTTGGTGGACATGATCTGTTGTCTCAGGTGCCAGTCCACATGGCTAATTCGCCATTCTTAAATTTTGTATACATGTCAAATGTGTCCTGTTCTAAAGGCACAGAATAATGACTTGCTCTGGTCTGTCCATAAAATGGTAATTGTCTTACCCGTTTTGGCAGCTTTCTGACTGATTTGATTATTCTCTTCCTCTGTTGATAAGAGACTGGTACGTCAGGTAATACTCACTTATTATTTGGTCATAGATCAACAACAACAAAAAAACAACAACAACAAGGAATTTAAAAACTGTGTTGTTTTTACAAGGTAGGTAGACTGCAATGTAGCTGCTGCTAACTATGGAAATATTCTGCGGTGAGGTTTTAATCTCTTCCACAGTGGGACTCTCATACCTCTGCCTGAAAACCATGAGATGGGTCATTTTTTAAACCACTCACTGCAGAAGAGGATCCCTGGTACATATCAAGGACTACACTGTCAAACCATTTCACTAACATCTAAGTCAGACAGCAGCAATATATAAATAGCTGCAATCAAATAGTGAAGACAAAGAAACCTTTATCATTTCCAAACTTAAAGTTATCATTTCCATACTTAAAGTAATCATTTTCATACTTAAAGTTATCATTTCTATACTTACAGTTTAAAGTTAAGCACTGCTCCTGCATTTACCAGCAGTGTACTGAAAAAAAATAGAACAAAATAAGTCCATTAATGTTGTGCAAAAAACAGAATGGGTACAAGTATATCAACGTTGCACAAAATATAGAACAAAATAAAATAAGCCAATTAATGGTATGCCAGATACGGAGAAAACATTATTAATGTTCTGCAAAATACAGAACAAAATACAAAAAGTTCATTAATGTTGTGCAAAACAGAAAAATGTAAGATAATTGCACTAATGTGCAAACAGAATAAAGTTCATTAATGTTGTGAAAACATAAGACAAAATAAGACAAATCCATGAGCATTTTAGGATGAAGTAAACAATTTTAGGACAAAGTAAGAATCTTAGAACAAAGTATTAAAAAGTACTAGATCACTGGACAGTATACTGTCCAGTGCTGTGTGCACAATGCAGGACAGTGTCAGCAATGTCGGAACAGCTGCTGGACAACAGTGCCATGAAGAAATAAGACTGAAAATGAAATAATTAGAGTTCCATCTGATGCTAAAAGTGAAATGCCAAGAATGAAACACAAACTGAAAGCAGATCTGAAAACTAAAAGGTTATAGTAAAGCAAGCAGTACAGGCAGTCCCATTATCAAAGAATAGGGTAGTGGAGGAAGGCTTGAAGAATTTAGTGATGTACTGAAATAAAAATACTGTCGCTAAAAAGTAATACTCCACGACACTAGACTAAGACACTGACAGTATTTACAATTGAAAAACATCCGTTTACATGGCATAGAGCCTACGTCCTTGTTTCTGAAGTAACACTAGGAGAAGGATTCCACTTTCAAGATAACAACATTGCTGCTTTGGGATATGTCAGTTAAGTGATTTTGTATATTTGTGTGGTTCAGTGTGATTTATGTATGTGCTGATGAAGGCTCTATAGCCACAACGTTCATGTTTCGTTTGTTTTATTGTGAAGATGGCAGATCTACATTTCGCTAGGTTTTATATTTTTCCATGAAGTAAAGATAAAACTGTCACAATTCCCTTGCAGTTGCTGTTTAAATGGGTTACCACTTTACTCTCTAATTTTAATTCTGGGCCATCTCTGTCACAACGTCAGGAAGTGAAGATTTATGACTCTGTGAAGTGAAGTGGCGAGACCAAATAAATCTCTTCCACGACGCGATTCTCGTACCGTCATGCGAAAACCGAAAACCATCAGTGCTCGTCTTTGACCGTTTTTTAATAAACTCAACTCTCCTTAGCTTTAGTATCCTTTTCGGTACCGTCTCCTACAGTTAAGCGCCCTGCCTACAGTCAACAGTCGGTTTGTTAATGTAAAACTGTAAAGTCAAAGCCAGTCAGTAGTTCAAGTTCAAGTTGAAGTTTGTTTACTTTAAATAATTCAATTAATGGCGCTTCTTTGAATCGTTCCCCAAAATGGCGGCTTTAATATGATGGCGTTCAAAAGGGAGCTAAATTGGCCAATTTCTGGCCATAAAATATTCCAAAAATATCCCAATGCGGGTCAGTTCTATTAAAAATATATGTGCCGGCTCCGGATAACGAAACAAATGGTTCTGACAGGGTCTCGGCGATACGGCGTTACTTGCTGACCTGCGTCTGCGAGTGTGCCTCACCGCCGAGCATATCCCCCGCGCCGCTACGCGCGGCGCGGATGGGGGCTAAACTAGATGGCTGGGACTCATGAGCGGCAGCTACCGCATCTCCTGCAACTTCCTCCAATTACTGTACTCGCGAGGGCTCTCCTTGCAGATCTGGACGAGGGTCGGATGCGGGCTTGACGACTTAGTTCAGTTTAGTGGGAGTTCTCTCCCTTGGCCGCACTCGAAACAGTGAGCGGAAAAGTCACGAAACAAATGACATACTTACCTATCATCATACGGTTGCGTGTAAGGTTGCTTATGGTTGCGTTTAGGGTTGCGTAGTCATCATACGGTTGCGTGTAGGGTTGCGTAGTCATCATAGGTTGCTTGTAGGGTTGTGTAGTCATCATACGGTTGCCTGAAGGGTTGCGTAGTCCATCATGCTGTTGCGTGTAGGGCTGCGTAGGGTGTTGGTTAGGGGTAAGGTTAGGGTTAGCGTTAGGGTATTTTTAAGGGTTAGGGGAAGGGTTAGGGGTAGGGTTAGGGGTTAGGTTTAGCGTTAGGTTTAGCGTTAGATGTGACAATTTTGACGACGCAGGAATTCCCAATAATCGCGCACTGTCACATACACACCAAAAAAGTCGACGGACTGTGGATGCTACTGACACGGACACGTCGCCACCGGTTCGGCATCAGCTGCGCGCTATTGTGGTCATATTTGACATACTTCCAGTGGCGCCACTCCCACAAGCACCAGATTGTCGGCCAGTATTTGGAACTCCTACGTCAAAATTGTCACTTCTAACCCTACCCCTAACCCTAGCCCTAAACCCTAACCCTAACTCTACCCCTTACCCTAACCCCTAACCCTAACCCCGAATCCACACCGTACGCAGCCCTACACACAACCGTATGATGATAGGTATAACCCTACACGCAGCCGTATGATGACTAGGCAACCCTTCGCGCAACCGTATGATGACTACGCAACCCTTCGCGCAACCGTATGATGACTACGCAACCCTAACAGCAACCGTACGCAACCTTACACGCAACCGTATGATGATAGGTAAGTATGTACGCTCGAAATTGTTGTCAACGGTCTGTATTTATCGTCTGCTACTACTACCGTGTGCAAATGTTGATATTGATTGTCAAGCAATCCTAGATTTGCCGCGATTTGTTCCTTGGCAGATAATCCGTATTTTAGATATACGCGAACACGATAGTTCGGATATTTTTGGATATTTTATGGCCAGAGTGTGGCATGCCGCCATTTTGGGGAACCAATCAAAGAAGCGCCCAATTAATTAATACTTGCCCAAACAAAATAAGATCTCCAATCATACTGACACAATTTCACGGTGTAGTATTTTCAGTTCCTGTGTAGGGTAAACTCTACAGATATAAAGAAATAATTCAATCAATTATTTATATATATTTTTTTAAATTGTTTAGAAAAGTCATGAAAGTTTTCCCGTTGATCTGCCCCGTCAACCGACGTTTATGACAACCGTGTACTGCTTTATTTACAATCATAAATTACTATGTGCTGGTAAAACAAAAACAACAACCAGTATTTCTCAATGGAAAAGAAAGTATTTTTCTCGATTTAAATTCAGTTCTTTGTATGTATGCTGGTGTGGGAGAGAGAGAGAGAAAAGGAGAGAGGGGGGGGGGGAGAAGGAGAAAGAGAGAGAGAGAGAGAGAAAGAGAAGCGAAATAGTATCCAGAGATATACTGTGAAGTTTCGAATAGTTCATATTGTTGTTTCCATCATCATCATCCTCATGTGCCCTGCCTATTGGCGCAGGCGCTAATGCATCTCCACAGATCACGATCCCTGGTTGCCCGGAACAGCTCTCTTGATTGGTTTCCAGCAAGGCTAAAATATCTAAACACACCCACTTCCCCACCCCCGCCCTCCCCCAACCCCATCAAATGTGTAAGAAGGTCGAAGTTTATCCGCAATATCTTCTTCCCATCTGCCTCTATATGGCATCGCGCGGCTTAGCTTACCATACGCAATGTATAAAGAAACATCCTGTATGCCCGGTCACGAATACATAATCTCTAAAGAAGCTAAAACTCTACTGCCTAATTATTAGAAACAAGATTAAGCACTGCGCCACACGGTTGCCAATGTTTCCCAAACTTTTCTTGGTTGCGGCGCCTTTTTTCAATAAAAATATTTCCACGGTGCCCCAACCTAAGTAAAAGTAGGACTATTCGTGTCTTGGTTAAATTAATTATGAAGGTTTTACAATATTCCGCGGCGCCCCTGTGAAAAGGTCGAGGTTTCCCGGGACGCCGCGGCGTACAGTTTGGGAATCACTGCGGTTGCGACATGCAAGTCGACGCTTGTCAAACATTACGCCAGGCGATTTCCATGGGAAATTACCGTATCTTCCTAAAACCAAGACCGGGCCCCGATTAAGACCTTCTCCATCTGTAAGGTAATTCTGCTGACGTCACCCAAACCGGGCGTAACGTTACAACACGTATCGTTAGCCTTGTTTCGTGACGTCAGCAGCATGGCCCGTCAGATGGAGACGGTGTGGGTCTGATATTAAATAAGGGAGTTCCCCTGATGTAGTGGCTAGATGGAAGATCGTGGGTTCGGTTCCTGGAGGCACCGAACATTTTTTTGTTAAATAAACCTGGCTCCAAGGTCCAACCAGCCTTGAATGGGTACCAGGTGGAGTTATGGGAAGTAAAGACGACCGGCGTGATGCAGACCACATCCCCCACCAAGTGCAGATTGTTCTATAAAATATAGATCTAGAACTGTTGAACCCAATACGCCTGAGTACGTGGAGAAGGGTTCTCTAACTTACATTAAATGATGGTTCCGAAGATGTCTTAGAGCTTATTTTCTGTGGATGACTTATTTTTTTTTGTCGCGTACGTGTACTTACGTACAAAAATATACATTCATTCATTCAGTATAAAATTCTACATTTATTAACAAGAAGAAGAAGAAGCGAAGAAGAGAAGAAGAAGAAGAAGAAGAAGAAGAAGAAGAAGAAGAAGAAGATAAGCAGCAAAAACGATAAAAATAACAAGGAGAAGAAATGCACTACCTAATATATATATTATATATAGCATAGATATATATAAATATATATATATAATAGGGGAATATATATATATATATATATATATATTGTTTTTGGTTTTTTTTTTTTTTAAATTAAAAATGGAACTGTGAACATGACTTTTAAAAAAGAGGTCACAGACATATTTCCAAGTGAAAGAATCTCTAACATGTTACAAACCGGTATAGAGTTAACAGACAGAATATATTTTCGGCGTGGCAAAGAAATTCCTTCCAGGTCATATTTGTTGACTTTTCATGCCCAGATTTGGCAGCTTAAACTATTCTGCTAAGTTCACAGTAACAGACAGTCACCGGCAAAGAAACACTCTCTAGCACAATGTTCTTCAAAATTCTGTACACTCGTAGACCGGCGTCGAAACAGGAGCAATTGTTTCGCAGCCCCTCTGTAAAGAAGGTTAAGGATCCTTTTTCACGCATTTCAGGCGTATTGGGCATACAGGGCTAGACATATATTTTATAGACCAAACGGTAATTGGTTGGTGATGTGATGTTTTATGCATGCAGTCGTGGAACCTAGGCTGTACTCTCTCCTGGGACGTAGGTGGGCTGGGACTAGGCCCAATTCTAGATGTTTTTGGGTAGTTAAAAGCATCAGAAAGCTGGGAAACGTGGTCTTACCACCTTCGAATATATTGGACTGGCCCAGTGACGTCATTTGGGGTGAAATATTGGGAAAGGACCAATTGTTATTATGAGAAAAAATAAATAATGTTTTTGTGACAACATATAAATTGTCCTATAAAATCTTTTAAAAAGCTATCAGTTACAATTTGGGGGGGGGGGGCGTGGGGGGGGGGGAAGATTAATATTATTATTATTTTGTTGTTGTAATTTCTTAAATGCAAAATCATTTGATTATGACGTTTATCAAGCTGATTATTGTATTAATATTAGTAGGTTGCAAAACGTCGTGCTTTGGTTTCTACGGTGGTATTGAGAGCTGACCATTCAGTAGCAATGGCAAACTACTGGACGTAAATTTTGCCTAGAAAAACCACAACAGCCAAACAATGCAGGGGCTGTTTCTGCAACGTCCTGTAAAGGACAGACAACTAACTTAAACATAAATAGGTTAGAACAAGTTAGAATAAATTGAGGCTTGAGATTATTGCTACTTCTTATTATAGTCCATTGCGCGTGGCTTTGGTAGTCATGTCTATCCACAACCTTCTTGTCTCTTGTACATTCAATCAACTCTGACACAGATGGTCTTCCATAGACTATGCCGTGTGGCTTTGGTAGTCATGTCTATCCACAACCTTCTTGTCTCTTGTACTTTCAATCAACTCTGACACAGATGGTCTGCCATAGTCTATGCCGTGTGGCTTTGGTAGTCATGTTTATCCACAACATTCTGTCTCTTGTACTTTCAATCAACTCTGACACAGATGGTCTTCCACAGTCTATGCCGTGTGGCTTTGGTAGTCATGTCTATCCACAACCTTCTGTCTCTTGTACTTTCAATCAACTCTGACACAGATGGTCTTCCATAGTCTATGCCGTGTGGCTTTAGTAGTCATGTCTATCCACAACCTTCTGTCTCGTGTACTTTCAATCAACACTGACACAGATGGTCTTCCATAGTCTATGCCGTGTGGCTTTAGTAGTCATGTCTATCCACAACCTTCTGTCTCTTGTACTTTCAATCAACCCTGACACAGATAATCCTCCATGCCATGATTTCAGACTGACCAGCATCTGATCTCTCGATCTCCCTTTGCCTCTCCTCCCCTCCAACTTTCCGACGGTCGCGATGTATTCCAGTTTTCTCCTTCTCATCACATGACCAAATAATGTAGATTGTCTCATTGTGATGTGGGCAATCAGTTCCCTTCTTGAGTCAGTTTTTTTTTTCTTTCTTTGTTTCAGTACGTGAGATAATATAACAAAATAAAATGAATAACATTAGTATTGGGGAAAAAAAGGGGGGGGGGGGTGTTAAAATAAAAATACAAAATGCAATTAAATTATATTAGACGAAAACTGCTTTTGTGGAGAAAAGGATGCATCTGTTTACGGAGCATGCATGGGGATGCCCCGAATGCAATGGTGTCAATTCTTCACTCAACTTTACTCAACTCAACTCAACTCAACTCATCTCAGGATAAATTGTTTAGACTCCTGAAGATTGTAAGACTCTAAGCCGTAGATTATTTAGAGTGTTTGTAAATCCGGCACAGACAATCTCGGTGTCCCAATGTCAGACGCAATTTTATTGTTGTTTTAAAGCTCCACTCGGCTGTTGCCGGGGGCCCTAATATAACCCATCCTTTGTGTTAAACGAGCTTCTGGGATCTGTTCCCCGGTGACCCTTATCACAATGGTGGCACTTTGTGTCACCGGGTGTTTTATCGCTCGTTGTGATGTCCTGGTGGGGTTGATCTTCATCTTCATAATCATGATCATCATCATCCTCATCAAGGCACCGACACCAGGGCTTTTCCGCGGACAGCCAAAGGTCCATAACCCATAGGCCGAAGAACACTGCTGTAACACATCTTCAGAATTTTTTTGTGATACGGTTGTAGTCAATGTGGGATATTAGGGACTGCTGCAAGTAGTTTCAAACGGTTGTTTTAATTCAGTGCTTGATTACAATGAACAGAGTACACGAAGCGGTAAGTGTGATTTGAATCTTTCAGTACCACAGGATTCGTTTAGATGCATTTGTTGTTGTTATCGATCCGACGGTGCATGAGCCTTTGCCCTTGACCCAATGCTATGTAGTGGAATTTACATGTTTTCACAAGCTGTTATTGCTTTCCTCCGTACAAGGTGTTCCACTTGTCTGGTCTCGGATGGAATAGCGTTCGCCTAGTCTTGCTGAGTTGTGAGCACTCAAAGAGATGTAGGTCAATAGTTTCTTGTGGGTGGCTACATAGCTGGCACTCTGGGGAGTGTTGTGGCTGTATTATAAAGAGATGGCCATCGAGTGGAATGTATTGTGTTCTGAGTGTGAAGATGGTGGCCTGTTCCCTCCTTGTTAGATGGTTAATGCTGTCGATAGGATCAGGTCCAACTATAAGTGTATCAACCTCTCTTCCAGTATCTCCCATGGGCCATCTGTTCAGCCAAGTCATCATCATGTTCCCTGCCAACTGGCGTAGGCGCTCATGCGTCTCCACAGATCACGCTCCATGGTTGACTGGAACAGTCTCATTGATGCTTATAAAGTGAAAGACCCTTTTCGACGCCTTTAAGCGTATTAGGCATACAGGGCTAGACCTAAATTGTATAGACCGATCGGCACTCGGTGGATGATATGGTCAACATCACGACGACCGCCCTTACTTCCCAGGACTGTACCTGTAACCCACTCAAGACTGGGAGCCAATGTCATTTTTAAAGGGGGAAAAAAGTGTCCGACTCCGCCAGGACCTGAACCCAAGTCCTTCTGATCTCCAGGCGTGCATCTAGACGCTACACCACGGCGGTTAACATTTCTGGCAAGGTTTTTAGTATATTCAGTCTAAATGTAAATTATAAAATGCTACACCATGCATTTGCTGAGACATTTGGACACACTCGCTGCGTTGTTTGGGGTAAACAGAGTTAAAAAAGGAGATATGATTTTAATATGACACGTTGATCCTGGCAAACAATATCAGCATCATGATCAACATGATTGTCAACAACATCACGCGATGCCCTCTATAGTGTAATCGTTACCTCCAAACGCTTAATTGTGTCCTAAACCGCTTACACGTGCAGATTGATCACGCCTCGCGACTGTGATATTGATTTATCGGTCCGTCTTGTCGGCTAGATACGCTGTTTTGTCAGTTAATCGTCCTCATGTGGGATCCAATTTTGCATTATATGAAGCCACACCCTGGCTTTTGCCGGTTGCCCTGAATATAGTCGGGCCGTAAATATGGCCTAACGGCTGAACAGGGTTTCTGGAACCTCTCCACGGGTGATCCTCATCTGCATGGTGGCACTTTGTGTCACTGGGTGTCTATCGCTTTGTGTGATGTCCGGGTGAGATACAACTTACATACATACATACATTTACGCCGTTGTAGCAATTATTCTGAAAATTTTAAGCTACAAGAGCACGTTATCCGTGTTCAGTTATGCATAGATAACAGGCTCTTGGCCTCTCTCAGGTCACAGCTTGTTCTGTCTGGTATGCTATCCAGTGTTGCCACTTTTCTTTGAAAAAAACACATCCAAAACGGAGTCAAAAAATATCTAAAAGCATCTAAATTTGCGTGGAAAACATCTAGAAAAAACATCCAAATGGAAAGAGTCACAAATTACATAACAATTGATATGACTTACCCTATAGAATCATGTACTCGTCTTTACTGAAGTCTGCCTTACAAGATCCACGGGATAAACTTAGCTTGGATGATGAAGTTGAAGTTTCAGATTACAAATGACTCTGGTATGCTTTAGCTGTTCCAGTTTCTTTTAATACCCACCCAATCAGGGTCACCCAAGCCGGACAGGTAATTGGTGAGGGGCCAGACTAAAGGTGGCCACCCGGCCCTCTAGGCTCTGGGGTTGGGCGCAGGGATGACAGCTCTGCCCTGTAAAAAAATCTACAACGTTACTAAAACTTCAAGAGGAAATAAGTGCTCTAAACGTCCGGTGGTCTTGGGACAGAGTCCCTATGTCAGCATGAACAACATGGGTGAAAGCCGAAAGGAAGCCCATGATGGGGAAACAAGTCTGCTGGATGTCAAAACCAAATTAAGAATTGGCTACTGGAATGTAAGAACTATGTTTGAAACGGCAAAAACCGCCCAAGTAGTTAAAGAAATGCAGAACTATAAACTGCATATTCTTGGAATTAGTGAAAGCAGGTGGACAGGGTTTGGATAATCCACAACAGGTACAGGAGAAACCATAATATACTCTGGAAGAGATGATAACCTACATTCTGCAGGTGTGGTACTCATTTTAAAGAAAGGTATGCACAAACATCTCATCGAGTGGCATCCACTTCATGAAAGACTTATGACAGCACGATTCAATAGGAAACATGCCAAACTTACAATTATCCAATACTACGCACCGACTAATGAAGCTGAGGACGAAGAAAAAGAAACATTCTTTAGGAGACTGCAAGAGGTAGTAGATAAAGTACCAGCCCATGATATTCTATGCATTATGGGTGATCTCAATGCAAAAGTTGGTAACAACAACTTGAATAGAGAACTATCAATGGGAAATCAAGGATGTGGTACAATTAATGACAACGGGGAAAGACTGAGCGACTTCTGCACGGCGAATAGACTTGTTATAGGAGCAACACTATTTTCTAACAAGAATATACACAAGCTTACATGGATATCCCCAAATGGAAGAGATGTAAACTAGATCGACCATTTCATGGTGAATAGAAAATGGCGTGGGTCCCTACACGATGTGCGTGTCAAAAGGGGAGCAGACGTAGGAAGCGATCATAACCTTGTAGTTGCTCTACTACGACTTAAACTCAAAAAGTTCACACGCAAGTTAAGACACATACAGCACGCTACAATGTTAACCTTTTAAGAGAAAAAGACATTGCCACTAAATTTATAGTAGAACTCAAGAATAGATTTCAAACCCTATCAAGTGACCCAGACACTCAAACTGCAATCAGCATTCAAGACAGATGGAACCAGATCAAAGAAACATACAAATCAACTAGCAACAACATATTAGGAACCAGGAAACAACAACACAAAGAATGGATAAGCAGTCAAACCATGGACTATATTGCCAAGCGAAAAAGAATAAAGAGCCTCATAAATCACAACGTCAGAAAGACAAGCTAATGTTTGAATATAGCGAACTAAATAAAATGACAAAGAAAAGTGCCAGAGCTGACAAAAGAAGATTTATGGAAAATCTTGCTGAAACAACAGAAAATGCTGCTAAAGCACATGATCTACAAACCCTACACAAAATTACCCAGCAAATTTGCGGAAGCAGAAACAATTATCACAGAATACCCATCATAGATAACCAAGGCACTCCTATCACATAAACATGAACATGTACAAGAAAAAAGTAACAGACTAAACTGCACAGCAGAAATGGTGGGATTGAGAATAAATAGAAAGAAAACTAAGATCACGACAAGCAGTCCAAACCAACAACCAGTGACCATAAATAACCAAACTCTTGAAAATGTAGAACATTTCACATATCTTGGCAGTGTGGTGTCCCTGCCGGGAGGGACAGAGAAAGACACACAGTCACATCTGAACAAAGCTAGAACTACTTTTGGAAGGATGAGGCAAATCTGGAAATCCAACAATTACTGCAGAGAAACGAAACTCCGACTCTACAAGAGCATCATTTTGCCAGTTCTTCTTTATGGAGCGGAATGCTGGAAAATGAAGAAAAAGGATGCACACAAGCTTCCACCACACTTGTCTACGTAGAATTATCAAAATTTTCTAGACAGATACAATCTCAAACACTAAACTACTTCAAGTCACAAACCAAGAAACTTTAGACAGTATAATTACCAAGAGAAGATGGAAATGGCTTGGCCACGTTATGAGAATGAATCCTGTTTTACCCGCCAAAACAGCTCTCACATGGACACCAGAGGGAAAGAGAACAGGGGTGCCCAAAAACAACATGGAGACGAACAATGGAAAGTGACCTGAGTGAGGCATCTTTGACATGGAAAACTGCACTGAAGATTGCACAGGACAGGAAAGCATGGAAAGTCCTCTCTGAAGCCTCATGTGCCACTAGGCACAACGAGAACTGATGATGAATCAGGGAGCTGATAAGCGGAACAGCCTTTTCCTACTCTTATCAGGCAGAATGTTATTGCCAAGATAACATTTAGGAGGTAAAATTTCATCCTGTTTCTTGAGTTAGATTTGATAAATTCACTCCAAATGAAAAACTTCTAGAAAACATCTACCATCTAAATGTCAAAAACGCCATCTAAATGCAAGGAAAAACATCTAAATCTGGATGTAAAACATCCAAAATGGCAAAACTGATGCTATCGTGTCTTGTTTGGGAATTATCACGCGTGTACTATAGGATCCTATAGGTTTCCATATTGGGCACATAGTACAAGTAAAGTAAAGATCCCTTTTCACGCCTTGGGAGCATCGGGCATATGGGAAGAGCACCCCATATTTTAACAGACCAATCGGCACTAGGTGGGTAATGCGGTCAGCATCAAGCCGGCCGTCTTTACTTTCACAGAACATACATCCTGGTACCTATTTTAGGCTGGGTTGAACTGCGACTCCCCATATGATGATACAAATCCACACAGCCAGCAGTGGGTTTCAATCACGATACGTTGGAATTACACGTCGGCCACGCAACGTCTAAGCCACGAACGCCGTCTATTGGGTACATAGGGCTAGACCTATATGTTATTGACCAATCGGCATTCGGTGGGTGATGTGATCAACATCACACAGGTCGCCTTTACTTTCTATGACTTAACCTTGTACCGTTTAAATTGGGCTTGACCTAAAAGAGAAGGTAGTTTCTGAACAGAGGCGCCCGTGTATGTCAAATGGACTTGCCATGAATAACAGTTTAATGTCTGACTGACTGACTTTCTACCCCACCAGGACATCACACAAGCGATAAACACCCGATGACACAATGTGACATCATGTGGTTGAGGATCACCGTGGAGATGTCCCAGAAACCGCGTTCAGCCTTAAGGCCATATTTATGGCCAGGCTATATTGCGGCCCCTGGCAAGAGCCAGAGTAGGGCTTCAAATAACGAAAATGTTTATCCTAAAAAGGACGGGAAGTATAAATAACAGTTTAATTGTTGCAAGTGGTTTTTGTAGGGGCCCTAGCCTACTGATTGCACACGGGCCCAGATTCCGTTACGATTGTTCTGTTTGTACCATTGTTTGCATCTGCAGACAGGGAAACATGAAGGTGATGAAATCCCCCCAGACATTGCCAGCAAACAGCAAAATCCATCCGCTTCCTGCCATCCAATCAGAATCTCGCATTTAGATCACCTGGTTCTGACTGTCAAGGACATTAATCAAACTGTGGAATTTTACACGAAGGTCTTGGGCATGGAGTTAATTATATTTAACGTAAGTACCTACTTTTTTTTTTTTTCAGCAGTTTCTGCACTACAGGTTGTGTATCGTAGAACTAGAAATTGTTAGTCTTACACAGTGGCCCTGAGTTTAGTTGAGCTGAGCCAAGAATTGACATCACAGCACTTGGGACATTCCCATGTGTGCTCCACCCTCATCTTCTGCAGCCAGTGCAGAGTCCCAATACTGATGGTACCGGTCACAATCTGGTTATATGTCCGTCTTGCCTTTCCTCTGAGTGTAGTGAGCCGGCCAGTGGCCCCCAACCTTCCTAAAGCCGCAACCCTTTAATACAGTTCCCTTATGTTGTTGGAACCCCAAACAACTATCTTCCTTGATAACTTCAATGAATATGTGTTTCCTGATGGTCTTAGGCGACCCCTGGGAGATGGTCCTTCGACCGCCCCCCCCCCCCACCAACCCCACTCCCGCCCCCCGGTGACCCGCAGGTTGAGAACCCCTTGTGCTATAGTACTGAAAAAGACAACTCTGGGATCCCCGTGTGGGTTCCGGGGTTCCCCCTGTGTGGGGAAAACAAGAATAGACCCACTGCCTCCCCAACAAGCATGTCGTTAAGAGTCAACTTTTTTTTTTGAAGTCGGAATGCATCTGCCTGAGCGGCAAGGAAGCAACAATCTGCTTACAAATAAGAAAGATCTGTAAAACGGATGTGCACGCAACACTCAGGTTCTGAAACAAGACTCAAGTTTACAAGTGGACGAACAGCTGGAACTTTTCACTACAGTTTACAGCAGGTGAAAGCAAAAAAAAAAAAAAGAAGAACTTTAGGACATAATTCATTATAGTAACTTCTTCTTCTTCTTTTGTCAAAATCTGCTTGTGCCGCTAGGCGTCGCAGTCTATCAGATGATCGGCAACCGAGCCAGGGCGCGCTCAGTCGCTTCATATGCCGTGATGTTATGAAGTCTTAAGTTGTCCGTGACTCCTTCAATCCATATTCTTCTTGGTCTTCCCCTGCCTCTTGTTGTTTCGATTTTCATGGTGTATGCTCTTGATGCTGGCATCGTTGGTTCCATTCTCATTAGGTGACCAAACCATTTCATTCTTTGCTTCTCAATAAATTTAACGATGGGTATGGTTCCAATAGTTCTTGTAATCACATCGTTTCTCACTCGATCTCTTCTGGTTTTATTCGCAGCCATTCTCAAACATCTCATTTCACAGGTGGTTAGTCTTCTCTCATGTTCTTTTGTTAATGTCCAAGTCTGACATTGATAACCTAATGTCGGTATAAAGATTGTATTTATAATTTGTCTTTTTATCTCAGCTGGGATTATAGTAACAATACTAATATAAAGGGTAACCATAACAGAAGAATGGAAAAGGAAACACTTAGAAATGTAATCTTAGTAAAGAGTACTTAATGGTCGTATAGCGAGTTCCCGGCACTGTAAGGGTTAGCCTCTACTTTTTTTCTGTCTCCATGAGTGATGCAGAGAGGCTGAACAACATAGTGTTGTATCAGGACCACTGCTGTACCAGTACAAGTGTTGTACCAGGACAAGTGGAGGAGGAGGAGGATGTGGAGGATAAGGAGGTGGAGGAGTTGGTGGAGGAGGAGGAGTAAGTATGTGGAGGTGGAGGTGGAGGTGGTGAACGAGGTGGAGAAGGAGGAGAAGATGGAGGAGGAGTAGGAGTAGGTGGAGGAGAAGGTGAAGGAGGAGGATGAGGTGGAGGAGTAGAGTAGGAGGAGGAGGAGAAGAAGAAGAAGAAGAAGAAGAAAAAGAAGAGGAAGAAGAACAAAAAGAAAAAGAGGAAGAAGGACTAATATTACGAACATCCTTAAAAAGAATGCAAAGGCTTTTTTTCCGGGTCAACTCTTACATTCAAGAAAACATTCCACATTCATTATACACAATCGCAGTTACTGTCCTCTTCTGCCATTATATATTTCACTTAGCGCTAGCAGTCTATTTCATTCCTTTCTACCTACTGTAATCATTTCGTTATTATGGATTATAGTCCAGCAACCTTGGCTTCTCTTATCAACGTTCGTTTTATGGTTTATTTTGGATGCCCTCACTTTCTGAGTCTGTGTCTTTTTATTCATCTTATTCGTGCCCGATTAGTGATTCTCTCGTGGTTTCTTCTTAGTATGTGTCAAATTTAGCGTCATCTTGTTTATCTTGTGACTGTTGTTATCAGCGGTTGCCCAGACATTCTCTTATTTTCTACACTTCACTTTAATCCATCCCATTGTATATTGAACATTTTCTTCAGGCATTTGTTTTCAAATGCATTTACCTTTTATTCCATATCTGTAGTGGTTCTCTAACTTTTACTGGCATATGATAAACCAAAATAATATTAGAATGGGAAATACGTGGTCAAGTGGTCTTAAAATATTAAATTTAGAGTTCCATATGTTGTGCAGGCTTTTAAAACCTGCTGATGCGAGAGTTCCTTCCCTTCCCATTATGCCACGGCCAGTCGCTTAGCCTCTCTTATGTTATGGGGGCCCTATAAGATGGCTTCGTTAGGCGTTCGCTAGCCGTAGTTACTATTTGTGGGAAGTTGTGTTGTCAGGAGTCTCTTTGAGGCGTGCGGGGACCTGTGTAAAAGTAAGAAATACTGCAGGGTGGAGAGCTGAAGGCGCGAATGATCGTGAAAAATGAAACTGGGGAGGTTTTTTTTTTTCTATGTTGCTTGGCGAGAAGAAGCCACTGACAAGAAACGTAGAAATATAAAAACATTCCAGTTTTTATACTCACGAACAAGTAGCACAACGTGGAAATAATCACGGAAGTGAGCGGTGACAATAGGAGACAATAGAGAACGATTAAACCGTTGAAAAATAAAAGTATACATGACACCACCACATCATAGGACAGGTCATGGGACTGGCTGCGGCATAAATGGGAAGAAAATGAACTCTCGCGGTGCGGGCAAGTTCGTGCTAAGTACCCTTCTGATGATAAGCACCACTGTTTATTATACACAATCAAAGCATCTCTCTGTCACAGGGAGGACGCAAGGCGGTAAAGTTTGGAAACCAGAAGATTAACCTGCACGAACATCACAAGGAAATCGAACCCAAGGCAGCCACGCCAACTCCAGGCTCTGCCGACCTGTGCTTCATTGCGTCATCTGATCTGGAGCAAGTAATTGAACATATTAAGGTATTTCTCATGTGTATCTCAGAAGTTATAGACACATAGAGGCACATTGGGCAGGCAGGCAGGCAGAGAGACCGACAGATAAATAGGCAGGAAGACAGACAGACCGATAGATAGATAGATTAGATAGATTAGATAGATTAGATTAGATAGATAGATAGATAGATAGATAGATAGATAGATAGATAGATAGATAGATAGATAGATAGATAGATAGATAGATAGATAGATAGATAGATAGATAGATAGATAGATAGATAGATAGGTAGGTAGGTAGGTAGGTAGGTAGGTAGGTAGGTAGGTAGGTAGGTAGGTAGGTAGGTAGGTAGGTAGGTAGGTAGGTAGGTAGGTAGGTAGGTAGGTAGGTAGGTAGGTAGGTAGGTAGGTAGGTAGGTAGGTAGGTAGGTAGGTAGGTAGGTAGGTAGGTAGGTAGGTAGGTGGGTGGGTGGGTGGGTGGGTGGGTAGGTAGGTAGATAAATAGATTAAACTTCTTAGTTACATTTCAGTGGATTAATATCTTTGTACTTGACTAGTCAACCCAGTTTTCATCACTTGGGGGGGGGGGGGGGCTGAGGGGGTGATTAGATAGTGCGGATTGGTCAAGCCGTTTTCCTGAAGGTCAGGTTTTCGGTTTTATGGATATCAGTGGGGATCGTCACCTTAACTACGGAGGCATGCTCTGTGCAGGCAGCTAGTTGTTCTGCGGAGAGAGACTGAGCCACATGGGATAAAACCCGGTGCAGTAAGTAAACCCTCTCACCTTAACCTTTAGGATAGATAACATTTATGATTTCCTATCTCTTTTCCCAGGCCTGTAAAGTGGAGATAATCGAGGGTCCCGTACGGAGAACCGGAGCTGTGGGTCCCATGTCGTCGGTGTATATCCGGGATCCAGATGGAAACCTGATCGAGATTTCAAACTATGCAAAACCCGCGGCCCATCTCAAGTGACCCACATCGTTATGAAATGGGACATGACTAAATTACTACACACTGTTGAGAAACACTAAAAGCTGTGGCTGTCTCCTGGTCAACAGTGGCTACCTAATGAAAGAAACAAAGGGAGAGAACAAGAGAGTTTTTGCTCTATGTTTTCCTTTCCAAATAACGCCCCCTTGTTAGAGCTTGAGATTCCCACAAATACTTTTTAGTAGGACAGAACCACAGACACGCACGCCAGCACTCACACATGCACACACACGCACACATAGAAAGAGAGAGAGGAGAGAAGAATAAACGTTCACCTGAATAAGATTAGGAAAGAAGGTATAGAAGTAATTGCATGTGCTTCGAGTAAGAAATTGTATTGACATGAAATTAAGAAGAAGACGATGAAGAAGAAGACTATGACACTGCAGTCTGAAACTGTTATGAAAATTTGTTTATTTTTTCACAATTTTTAAGGTGCACACTAGCACAATAAAGTTAGGTTCTGTTATAACCTGAGATGAAAACAGTGTAACAGGTACTAAATGGGCACAAGTAATAATAATAACAGTAATAATAATAATAATAATAATAATAATAATATTAATACATCTTCTTCTTCGATATTTTTTTTCCTTTCTTTTACTCTTTCTCTTTCTTTTTCTTCTTATTTTTTTTTTCTTCTTCTTCTTATTTTTCTTCTTCTTCTTCTTCTTCTTCTTCTTCTTCTTCGTCTTCGTCTTCGTCTTCGTCTTCTTCTTCTTCTTCTTCTTTCTTTTTTTTTTCTTTTTCTTTTTCTTCTTTTTCTTGTTCTTCTTCTTCTTCTTCTTCTTCTTTTTCTTTTTCTTTTTCTTTTTCTTTTTCTCCTTCTTCTTCTTCTTCTTCTTCTTCTTCTTCTTCATCACCTTCACCTCAATCTTTTTTCTCTTCTTCTTCTTCTTCTTTGCATTCCAGCGTTTATAACTAATATTTCATTGATGCTGATGATGTTTATATTGTGCAAACTTTAAGACATATCATTTAAAAAAAAAGACTTATTACTATACATTTTAAAACGCCTAGTAAATTAAGTATAATTAGAACACATCCCAGCGTCTGTAATTCAGACCTAGATGTTGTAAACATTATTTTTCAATTTTTTCTAATATTATTTACAAAGAAATGAGCTACAAATGAATAACTGTATGCAAGGATCAGAGTGGAAGGGCAGAATGTTAAACGGGCATGCCTGCCCCATTCTTAACACGTTGAAAATAAAGATTGTTTGTTTCTTTGTTCCTTTGTTTATTTGTTCTTCTTCACCTAATCTTTTACTGCTTCGGATGTTAAGGGAGAAATAAGGTTCTTCTTCTTACACTATCGGAAAGGTAGATTCAGGCTTGTGAATGTAAATGCTACAGTTTACGCATTTTACGAATTAGTTATTTAGAACACAAAACTAATACATATGTCCAAGATAAAATACAAATTTGCGGGACATCAGGAGCCTCTCTTGGCTGTGGTGAAACCTTGCAAGCTAGCTTGGTTTGGGCACGTGGTGAGACATGATTATATTGCAAATGCAGTACTTCAAGGAACATTGAGGGTAGTCGAAGAAGAGGTGGGCAAAGAAAAACCTGGAATGACAACATCATTTAATGCACAGGACGAAGTTATCATACGCTTATTCTTGAAGTTGAAGAGAGAGAAAATTGGCGGGTTTTATGAGCTAGTGCTTCCATCAATACACCTCCCTAATGGGTCAAGGGTTATGTTATGTATGTTATACTTCTTGTCACTTAGACGATAGACCACAGATACATCGTTTGTTGTCTCTGATGTTATCTTCATATCTAGCTCTTGGGCTGCCTTATGCTCCACGACTTTTCACCCTTCTCTTCAAAGACAAACTGCAGATATGTTAGCTGCGTATCTCCTTTACAGGATGTTGCAGGACCAATTCCAGCATCTCCTCGATGTCCATGGTTTAACTACATAATTGTACGTTCAGCAGTCTGCCACCATTGACAACAGACGCCTCTCAATACGCCTGTCGAAACCAACCCAAAAGGGTCTACTGCCAAGTTGTTTGCATCTGGAATCAAGCCAGATGTCTGGAAATTACAAACTAGGTGTACAACCAATCATTGACAGATGCAGATATGGGGAATGTAAAAATACAGAACACACATTAAAGAGACACTAAAAATAAATCTAAAATAAAAAAAGTATATTCCAGATTGTACTAGGAAACAAAATCAATTATTTTTTCTTGTTCCATTTTTCTCCAAACAAAGTACAGACATTCAACCATGTAAAGCCATTTAAAGCAGCTATTATGACGCCGAACCCGAAAAGATTCATGTCTGTTATTTCCTATATAATTGTGATGCAGATCTTATTTGGTTCCACCACAAGCTATCCCTGTCTCAAAGGAAAGACCTCTCCACACCTTATGCTACTATGTACATGTGGCTAGACTATACAAGCCTGTTATTCTCTCTAAAATACTTATTAGTTATGTGGCACCTTTCCGTCTTTCTAGACAACAGTGCTATAATATGCTATGAGGAGGCATGGGACTCACAGCCCATGACGATGGCGAGTATGACTAGAAAGCAAGACGCGCCCACGTTAAGAAGTCTTCCACAATCAGATCATGAGATTTCAGGATCATTGTTGCTGTCATTTGTAACTGTTTTTTCTCAGACACCCAGCTCTCATAATTTCTTCCTTCATTCTCATTCCCTTCCTGATTAGCCCCTTCCACCCAACTCGGTTGTTTCCGAGGCTAATATGGGCCAGAAATAAAGTTCCATCTCTCCCTAGCAGAAAGTCTGGGCAGAATAATAGAGACCATATGTTGCTTTCCAAAACACACAAATCCAAACCATGTCCTATTTCGTCTTCCCATAAGTCATCTCTGTTATTCTTTATCAGACAGCAAACATCCAAATCAGCTTCTATTTCGTCTCCCCAAAAGTAATCTCTGATTGTTATTTTTTATAAAACAACAAACATCCAAACCAAACTACTATTTCGTCTCCCCTGAAGTCACCGATGACTGTTATTCTCTCTTTAAAGAACAACTGTGCTAACTTCAACTTTTTAGGGAGATGTAAGACAGGAAAATTCTCGCATGCCATAAATAGCCAGTCTTAACAGATGGCTGTGAAGCCTGGGCAGTTGATAAACAAACTAAACACTTTCTTCAGACCTCGGAGATGTGGTTTTTCAAGAAAATCCTTTGAATTCACTAGACGGTCAAAAACGGCTACTTGGATTTTGAACGAGTCGAGAGATCGAAAATAACTAATCGGAAATATCAGAAAGAGACAGTCATCATTTTGTGGTCGTGATATAAGAAGAAGGAAAGTAGAATACCTTGTGGCCACTGAAAAGATCTTTGGAAAGAGAGAAAGACAGACAGACGGAAGACGATGCAAGGAGATTCTTTACAGCTTTTTGGATGGCATGGAATGGTATCCACGCACGGACTGATGCATGTTGTTGAAGATCCCAGATCGTAGAGAGGCATTTCCCCTTGTGGGTTCCGGGGCCTCATTGCGAGGAAAACAGGAATAGACCCACTGTCTTCCCAATAAGCATGTCTGTCGGGCAAGGAACAACCAACTGCACACAAAAAAGCCAGTAAAACGGATGTGCACGCAAAACGCAGGCCCTAGCATAAAGACTAAAGTCGATATGGACACACACACACAAAAAACAAGAATTTCCGCTGGAGCTTAAAACCGGTGAACAAGGATGATGGAGACGCCTGATCGCCCACTCCAGTCGGCAAAGCACTTCATGATAAGGACACGAGGGTCTTAAGCCTGTTAATGCAGGATGATTGTATGGCTAGCGCTGTCGTCACAGACTGTGCAGGTTACGATTTTATTTTGGCCAGAGACAGAGAGAAAAAAATTATATCACACTGAGACGGAGTCGAACGAAGCGGTGTTTTGTCCCTGAACCAGGAAAGCACTCCCTCCCCCAAGGGAGTGTACTCACTGGACAGATCTTCTACACATTAGAGTCACATTAGAAGGATGATGAGAAAATAGTGGCCATCGGAGCAAATCAACCTTTGAAGAACTGAGTACCCGTATGGCTTCCTGTTAGTCTAGTAGCACTTAAGGAAGATATATTACACGTAAAGAGTAACGGCTATTTAAATATTGTTATGGCTGATACACAGACTTAACGAAGTTAAGCGTCTAGTTACATTACTCCCAGCTTTCCAGTTCAAGATAATTTACTCATAAATTTGAAAATGATCAAGCAGAGTTGGGTCGATCACCAGAGCCGTACTGACATCAATAACTTCTGCCACTGCTAGTGATCGAACACGTCAGCGTTGTTCTGAAAGTGACAACTCTAACGTCTATGCCAACACTAGATGAGCATATTACGTAACAGAAAGATGCATTAGATAACGTGTGTTCATCCTTATTCCTCACCCCCCCCCCCCACCACCCTAAAAAAATGATGTGCTACTGAGTATTCCCCACGTCTGAAACATATCAAGTGCAATGCCGACTGGCGTGGGCGATCACGCCTCTCCACAATCTGCAACCCTCAACCACATGCATCAGTCTGTGTGTTGACACCCTTCCATGCCATGACAAAAGCTGTCAAGAATCGTCTCGCACCCTCTTCCTCTGTTTGTCTTTCAGTAGATCTTTCCAGTGGTCACAACTTCTACCATTTCCCTCCTCGTAACATGGCCAAATAATGACGAATGTCTCTTTCTGATGTTTGCGAAAAGCTGTCTTCGAGCACCTGCCTCTTTCTTTTTTTAAACGTATCCAGAAACCATGAGTTGTAAACCCTTTTCAAAACACATGAGTTATCCTTCTTAAGGATTCCTCTGTAAAATGAAACATTTATTGTTTGATTTTGAAGTTTTTGTCAGTGTTTACTAAACAGACCTGGCAACCACATGGATATCTTGTATTTATTTTCCCATAAACAACAAAGAAAGTCATTAGAGCTTTCCAGGCAATATTTATGAAAATAATTATTTTTGTAAAAAAACTTCT